TGTTTCTCTCTCTCTCTTCCTCCCAATCTATCTGGACAAAATGTCCTCAGGTGAGGAGAGACAGAGAGACAGAGAGAGAGAGAGAGAGAGAGAGAGAGAGAGAGAGAGAGAGAGAAAGAAACAATATTTATATACTGTGTTTTTCCAGGTTAATAAAAAGCATATATTAATTATTTGATAACACTCCTTCCAAAGAGGTAACATTAAGTTTTCTTTTTAGAAGAGGAATGATAGATCAAAATCATAACTAATTTCCAAGAAAATGAGAGTTGTAGTTCAAGAAATCACTGGTAGCTTAGCTTAGCTGTTCCAGAAAACCCTTTCCTTTGCAATAAATTAAGACAAGGGAAAACTATCCAACTCCAGGAACAAGATAAAGATAGCCTGTATCTGATCAGCATAAACAGGCACAGTAAAAAAGCAAAATAAATTGAATTGCCAGTAACTATTTTTCAAGTCTTCAATCACTGGAAGTTTGTGCTCATCTTTCAGAGTACAGATATCTCTCTCTCCTTTAACATCAGAAATTTGGTACAGTGTTCAGCAATCTTTCATATAAGATGTGCCAAGGTTCTGACTTCATTCTTTCTGGCATTCCGACAGGGAGAGGAAAAGGGAGATGACAGGCAGTCTCTCTCTCAAACATGGGAAAGTCAGTCTAGTGATGGTGGCCACTGAAAATTGGCCCTTTCTTTTTGCATCCACATGGGACTACAATGTTTGGGTAGCACGTATCAAGGATGAAGTTGTCTTTACAAAATGTGAGCTCTGGCACATTTTATTCTCAAATACCAGATTGCATTAGCAGGGTACAGCTTTTGCAAATGTCTTCGTATGTTCCAGTCCAAGAAACATATCAAATATAGGCTCAAGAACATCTTTATTCAAAATTCACTCTCTTTGGAATGCTTTCTAGCTTTAATGATTTTTAAATTGTTTTTATAACTTTTTCTAAGTCTTTTGAAAAAAGAAAAAGTGCCTAATGGCTGTCTTGGATATATCCTGCAGGATTTGTCTAATTTGGGAAAGAGTATTTAAGAAAATCACAGAAGTAATATTCCATTAAGGGTTCCTAAAAATTTCCACTGGCAACTCCCTAAATGTTTTAATCCCTTTATGAAAGAGCATCAGGTACTATATTACTGTACTTTTAAGAGTTAAGAAGTCTACCTCAATCTGTTCAGCCTGTTCACATTATTTTAGGTGCCTATCATATGTATGACAACCTGTTCCCTAGAAGTAAGTCATCTGCCCTCTATAAAAACAAAACAACATCAATGGGGGGGAAAGGTGGGGACAAGTTATGCTTTCAACAATAAAAAATAAATAAAAATAAATCCAGTTTTCACACTATCAAATGATGAAAAAATAAATAAAAATAAAAATAAAAACAACAGGACTCTATTATGTAATACTGATTTATAATAGGAATATTCCTTTTTCTAACCTACTTTTTACTAATTTAACTAGACAGAATATGCTTGATATTATTTTATGTTTGCAGTCAATATATTTTTCATAGTCTTAGTAGATGATGGGTTGGAAATGAAATTTTTAAATTTTGTTTTGTTTGTTTGGGGGGGGGTTGTTCATCCTCACCTGAGGATATTTTTTTTCCATTGATTTTTAGAGTGGGGGTGGGACTACAAGAGGGGGGAGAAAGAGAGAAACATGGAAATGAGAGGAGACACATCGATTGGTTGCCTCCTGAACGTGCCCTAGGGATCAAACCTGTAACCAAGGTACATGGCCTTGACTGAGAATCAAACCCATGACCATTCAGTCTGCCAGACCAATGCTCTAACTGCTGAGCCAAACTGGCCAGAGCGCCAGGGCCTTTAAATGTTTTGCATTAATCTCTTCCCACTTGAAAATATTTTTGAACATCTGAAAAGTCTACATTAATTGGATAATTTGAGACCATAACTAAAACTTCAAATGAATCACAGATTTCAAATCACAACTAAAGCTTCAGATGAATCATAGATTATGTCTATGGTTTTTAAGCTGGAAGGGTCTTTGGTAATTACTTACAGAAATTAGATTTGTTCCCTGGGATACTCCTTTAAATTCAAGGGGGAACTTGTTTGAGTGGGTAAACTTGAAACAGTCCTAATTCCAGAAACAACAGGTAAAAGCTATTAAAAAGACAGAGTGCAGTCTAATCTTTCTCCTGCTTAACCAAAGAGAAAGAACAATGAGATATAATGATTTAATGAAGAAAGAAAGAACAAAAATACTAGGGAGACTTACAAAAGCTTCTAATACAAAACAAAACAAAACAAAACAAAAAGCACAGTATCTCTCTGCTCCATTCCCATCTTTATTTAAAATTAAGTAAAGTGTCAAGGCAGTATAATATGCTAAATGCCAAATGAATAATTAGACCTACACTGTCCACTATGGTAAACACTAACCACTTGGCTACTGAACATATAAAATGTTGCTTGTCCAATTTGAAGAACTCGGAACTAAAAAAAAAAAAAAAATCTCATTTAATACTTTTACACTGTTTAAATAACTTTAAATGTTTTGGATTAAATAAAATATATTACTAAAATTAACTTTTTCACCTGTTTCTTTTTACTTTTTAAATGTGGCTACTAGAATATTTAAAATTAAATATGTGGCTCACATTATATTTTCTACTGGATAAAGCTAGACAAGAAGTAAGTGCTATGAAGCCAAATGAAGAAGAAATCACTATGTTTTGAAGAAGGCTTCATGAAGATATCACAACTTAAAGGAAGGAAAGTATTCAGGAAAGGAGAGAAAACTAGAGGAACCATATTATATGAATAGAAAAAAGAGGAATCTCTGTAGCTCACTAGATGAAGGAATATTTTGAACGTAATTATTCATCCTCATATGATATTACAAAGTATTTAGTACAGAACAAGGCATAGTCCTGAAGACACACATCTAAAGAAATGGCAAAAATCAGTCCAGCTGGTGTGACTCAGTGGTTGAGCATCAACCCATGCACTAGGAGGTCGAGGTTCGATTCCTGGTCAGGGCACATGCCCAGGTTGTGGGCCTGATCCGCAGTTGGGGGCATGCAGGAGGCAGCCCATTGATGTTCTCTCTCATCGATGTTTCTATCCCTTTCTCTCTCTCCCTTCCCCTCTCTCTAACATCAATAAAGAAAAAAAAGAAAAAAGAAAGAAACAGCAGAAATCAGGCAGACCATCTTCCATAATTACTTAGTTAGAAAGCTGCAAAATTTGCAAGACACAAAATGAACGTGGTTGGTTTTGTTCACTGCTCTATCTTTAATACTCAAGAGTGTCAGGAAGGTAAGAGACACCTAAAATAAATATTTGTTAAGTGAATGACTTAGCAAATTAACTACTGTAGAAAAGGGTAATGCTTTCCAGTAAACCTCAAGGCTGGGTCACTGGTGGAGGAGAGAGCATCCAGTTATATTAGCACCTGCCAGAGCCTAACTGGGTTCACTCTTTGTATTGTTCAGGAAAATGAGGTGAGAAGATTAAAATACAAAACGAGTCCCTCTCCGAACTCTGCATAATTTTGGATCTATTACCTGAGGACTTGAAGTGAAGAACTAAACCTCCCTCAGCATCCAAACTGCAATTCTGCTCTAGGGAAGCAGACAAAGCTATATACACATGGGTAGGAATAGCCCCTCCCTACAAACTATTGGGTGGTCTTCCTCACAGGAAGAGGGTACTGTTCCTTTTCTCTATTTCCTCCTAAAATATTTAGAAATATGCCCTGACATACAGAAAAATTAGAGACCTGGTATAGTCTGATATGGAAATGGCTAGGTGAAAAATGGCTAGGTGTGTGTATATCCAAAGGAGAGGAAAACTAATTTCTGATGTTTTTACATTATTATGTACTACAATTGTAATAATGGATGACAGTAAAACAACATACACAGAGTTCTGAAGGAGAAAATTGTGACCCACAAGTTTTCTACCCAACTAAATATTAATTCACACATGAAGACAAAAAAGGAAGAGAGTTTTTCATGTTTTATGAAAATCTGAATTATGCTTATTTAAAACAGTATGCCACAGAATATTAATCAAGTCCTAGGTTATGCATACAATTTTTTAAAAGATTACTAGCAAAATGTAAAACTATGTATTCCTTTCAAATCGCATAAGAAAAATGTTAAAGAAAATATATTTAACATTAGGAAGAAAGCAAAGACACAAAAGAAATAGCAAGAAAGCATTTTAAAATCTTTCAGATTACCACTTATAAATACATTTACCCATTAAAAAAATCTTTGGATATGATTTTTTTAAGTGTCTACAAGTGACACATTTAAAACAAATAGATTTAAAGAGCTGAAGAGGAAAAGGTAAAAATAAAAAGAAAACAGGGTTTACATCAAAGTAGAACCCTAAACATAAAAACACTACATGAGAAAAGATCATTTTTTTAAAAATCCACAACTCATAGTACTTTATGTGCTAAATAACAGTGCTAAAATAAAAAGTAAAAACTATTCAATATGCAAAAAGAAATGGCTATAAATTCAGAAGTATACAGGAAGACTTCTTTAGATATGCAATTATAGTTGGCAAAAATATAAATAAGGTTAAATAAATGTCATTTGATGTCAAATAATGTAGGATTTTTATAAATGATTAAGAGTTTGGACTTAAAAGCAAAAGTAAAATGATAAAAGTTGGGTTTTTTAAGAATTTTTTTTGTACAGTTACGTAAAGGATGGAAGGTGAAAGGACTAAAACATAGGAAGATAATCTTCCTGAATAAAAGAATAAATGGCAATCAAAATTCCACCACCCAGGGTAGTCCAATAATGAAATACATTTCTAGGAAATGACATCTTAAGAAGGCTGGTTCCATGTGGGTATACAGTGGTTTACTCTTTATAGTAAAAAGTACTTTCACATTAGTATTACTTTTGACATTGTAACGAATAGGAAGGGGCAAAAGAGAAACTCTTGGAATCAAGAAAGGAGTATGACTCAAGGAGGGAAATTCCTGTTACTGGTGTCTAGATGCCCTATATATGCCAACTAAGAATTCGCTTACATGTCCAGCCTTTCTACTCCCTGCAAGAAGAGATCAAAGCTGAAGCAGCAGCAACAAACATGAATGTGAAGGGCATGGCTATAGTCTTGGCTGTGATAGTCTGTGCTACAACTTGTCAAGGTATATGGTACTTTTTACTTTTCAGACTATAAATTTGTTTTCTAATTCTTCAAATCACTTTTATCCTAAAAGATATACTAATTTTTTATTTAACCTTGCACATTACAAGTTACTATAACTTTAACAGAGAATGTAAGAAATGTAAGTTACTACAGCTGTGACAGACAATGTAAGAAATGCTTGAGGCATTAGAGATGATTATTGAAACTAGAGATGATAAAACTTCATGGAATTTTTTATTTGGCTACAAAATATGGCAAGAGCCATTAGCCATAGTTTTAAATGTTTAAAAAAATCTTTAAAAAGATTTTCGTGAGGCCCTGGCTGGTTTGGCTCAGCGGTTAGCGTGTTCGGTTAGCGTGTTGGCCTGTGGACCAACAAGACCCAGGTTTGATACCAGCCAAGGGCCAAGGGCCAAGGGTCAAGGGCCAAGGGCATGTGCCGTATCTTGGATGCAGTTCATCCCTGCCCTGGTCGAGGCTAGCTCTGTGGAGGCAACCAGCTGATGTGACACATGGATGTTTCTCTCTGTCTGTCTTCCTCTCTCCCTCCCTCCTACTCTGTCTAAAGATAAATGGAAAAATATCTCGGTGAGGATTTAAAGAAAAAATATATATTTTTGTGAGATAATGTTACTAGCTTCTTAGAAAAATTCTTGAGTGCAAAGCAAAATTTAAGTAAGCTTGATCTCCACTAAACTTCTTTTATGCTTTCCTCTGTTCTTTAATGGTTTGGTTACAAATTCAAAGAGAAAATCAACATATTACTTAAGCTCTTTTCCCAGTAACAGCTTTGTTAAGTGTTTTTGACAAATTACCATCTTTATCCTTAATGAAAACTTGGCTCAGATTCTTTACTAAGATTATAAACCATAGTCATCTGTTGCAATCAGATCCATTAATAACTGATGTATGATCTGTTTTAGGTTTCCCAATGTTCAAAGGGGGACGCTGTCTTTGCATAGGTCCTGGAGTAAAGGCAGTGAAAGTGGCAGACATTGAGAAAATCTCTGTAATATACCCAAGTAACAGATGTGACAAAACAGAAGTGATGTAAGTAATGGGCTTGCTAAAGATGACAATGGTGGAGGTATTTGGGGTTTTTTTTTTTTGCTTATGCTTTTCCATCCAAAATGTAACTGTTTTGGATCTTCCCTTAACAGTATCACCTTGAAAGCACATAAAAGACAAAGATGCCTAAATCCCAGATCGAAACAAGCAAACATTATAATAAAGGTAGGTTACCAGATTACTTCCAATTTATAATGTTTTATCCAAACAGATGTTTTGAGAAAATAGACAACTGTAGAAAGATCCTATGATCCTGTATAAGGTGTTTTGATAAGGGGTCTTTGGTTACCATTAGTTTTTCTTTCTTGCTATATGTTTTTTTATGTCAACTCTTAATAACTGGGAAATAAGAGCAGCCCAAGTTTATAACAAACTCTTGTTTTCTCATTACAGAATGCTGAAAGAAGGAATTTTTTAAAACATCAAAAAGATCTGAAGTCCTAGAAAAAAGGATATGAAAACTCAGAACAGGTTTAACTGTGAGGATGTAATGATAGAATTCTGTAATAGGAAAATTATTTTCTGCAGCCTATTACAATGCACATTCATGCATTTGCAGGTTAGGGAACCTTCGATAAGACTTGATGTTCATAACTCTTCTGCTGTGACAATGAAAACATTTCTGTCTCTCTAAGTTATCTGTCTGTATTTGATCTATATTCCATATTACGATCTGCAGATATAATGAGACATTAACATTATTACTGAAGTCAAGATCTTGTAAGTCAAAAGCATCCATGTATATAATAAACATTCCCCCTCAAATTTTAATGCAAATCCACTTTCCCCAATAATGATACAGCACATATATATCTAGGAAAAAGTTCTTATATGTTATCTTGTTTTATAAAAAGGCTGTAATTCATGAAAGGTACTATGAAAAAATTGTAAGCTAAGGGAAACTGGTAAGAATGCAAATATTTCATAACTGAATTAGCAGCTCTGGTTTTAATTTGATTTTAACAACTTTGTTTCTCATTGAGATGCTTTGAAGCAATTAGGATATGTGTGTTTACTGTACAGTTTGGTTTTATCTATATAGTAATATTTTGGACACATTTTAAATATAAAATGTTTTTGTCTACTAAAGAAAATGTTGAAAAGAAATATAAGTGCATATCTGGCAATCACCTTTACTTTCTGTGATTCTTTTTCTTAGGAAAATACATAATCTTATCTTTTGAAGTCATGCCTATACTATACAATATAGGGATATCTAAGATAGTTTTACTTTAAAAAGAATCAAAATCATTTTTCTCTAATAAAGTACCACAACTTCTTTTACATTGGTGGGTATAAAAAAATCTAGAATTGATTGTGGTAAAGGCTGTACAACTCTGTAAAATATACTGTACTAAAAACTACTGAACTGTACATCTTAAATTGGTAAACTGTATGGTATATCAATTATAGCTCAATAAAAATTTCAGAAAAAAATTTAATGTATTTTGTATGTATGTATCCTTTCCATTGATATCAAAGCACCAACCATAAAGCTGATCAGAGAACTGACAGAAAAGTAAATAGCAGAGGAGAGTGCCTGGAACCTAACAGGCCCTCTTACTGACTAGCTTTCTGATGGGTACCTACAAGCAATAATGAGAAGCCACAATGTTATCCAAGGGATTTGTATATAAATCTATAAAACCTGTATCACATATTTACAATGTGATATATAATATAGAAATATATAGTATGAACAAAGGATATATGTCATAAATCTACATAAATTTCTATAGAGAAATGGGACTATAAATCTCTGCTTTTCCATGCTGCATTCAGAATTGAGCCCAGTTCTATACTGAGGTCTCTTTACCCCTATTGCAGTAGTTCCTGAACAAAATCTGTTTTTACCTCTTTAACTATTGCAGAGCTATGGTTTTCTTTGACAGGTTCTAAAATGCAAATCTGATACTACTCTTCTTTTAAAATCTTTAATACTTCTCCTCACCTTCAAAATAAAGTCCATACTGCTTATCTCTCTGAATGCTGCTGCCAATTGTCATCTCCTTGAACTCTCTACTCATTTAATTATTTGCCATTTCCATGTTATTTTCTATCTGAAAGGCCCTGTCCTTTACCCATTTCTCCAATACCTACTCATCTTTCAAGACTCTGTTCAAGAGTTACCTGCCATAATCCTTTCCTGAGGCATCCCACACACACATATACTTTAGAATGGATCTCTCCACCTTACTACCTCCCCTAAAACACAGCATTCTTCTTATCTGCTTACAATGTCTTCCACCCTTAGGAGATTCCAAGGTTCCTTTCAGCAACCATGGGATCTCTGATGGTTTCTAAGCTTCCATCACTGGTCATCGCCCAATGGTTATCTTATAATACTTGCTTTTTCATCCTGAGACCATGTTCTACTTACTTGTATTCCCATAGCAGCCCTGGGATAATACCCTGGAAGGTGCTCAATACTTGCTAGTAAAATAGGATTCTTGGTGTCTAAAGCCCCAGAAACCAAAGGGTTTGTACCAGATTCTGCATAAAGTTGTTTTCTAGTTATATAGTAAGCGATCTTCACGTTTGCCTAGTTAGCGTGTGTTATATTGAATAATGCTCTTAGACACTTGTAGGTGCTTCAAATACTTGTGGTTTTCTAATTTATAGTAGTGATAGCCTTGTGAATCATTTCTGTTTTCATTAATTTCTTTACTGTTATTATTGTTCTGTTGTTTATTTTGCATTAAATGTTCTAATAAATATAACCACTGAATATCAATTACATGTGCTTTGTGGTAGAAGTCTTAAGTTTCAGTGTGTTAACAAGTAGGAAAGGGTTGAATGAGCACAGATTATACTACATTATATTACAGAACAGCAATTCTCCAGTGTAACACTCCTCCCCCCTCCCTCTTAAGGCTCCCTGAGACACTTTCAAGAAGTCCACAAGGTCAAAACTATTTTCACAACATTAAGATGTTAGTGGTCTTTTTTATCCATATTCTCACAAGTTTTCCAGAGCCTACATGACGTAATATCGCAACAAATTAAATGGAATAGTAGATATAAGAGCCCAGTTATCTTCTATTAAGCTTGCTACTCTTTTCACTAAATTATTTTTGTTTCATAAAATAGTTATTTTTAATTTTTTATTATTTTTTTTATCCTCACCTGAGAACATTTTTTCCACTTTTTTGTTCAGATAGAGTGAGAGGGAGAGAAAGGAAAAGAGAGAGAGAGAGAAATATCGATGTGAAAGGAACACATCAAGTGGCTGCCACCCACATGACCCAACCAGGGCCAGAGACAAACCGAGGTATGTGCCCTTAGCAGGAACTGAACCTGGGTCTCTCTGGACTGCAGGCCGACACTCTAACCGCTGAGCAAACCGGCCAGGACTAAAATAGTTATTTTTAATAAAAATTTTATTTAAGCCCTGGCCGGTTTGGCTCAGCAGTTGGAGTGTCAGCCCACGGACCAGAGATGCCCAGGATTGGTTCCCGCTAAGGGCACGTACCCCAGTTGCAGTTTGTCCCTGGCCCAGGTTGGGGTTGTGTGGGTGGCAACCACCCAATGTTCCTCTCTCTCTCTTCCTCCCTCTCTCCCTCCCACTTTATCTGAAGATGAAAGGCAAAAATGTCCTTGGGTGAGAAAAAAAAAGAACAACGTATAATTTGAGACCCCCCCTATGTTGGTATTTGTCAATATATGTAATCCATAGTCATCCTGCCCTATGGAGACATGAAGAAAAGAGAGAAAAAAAAAAGAAAGAGATGGAGGAGAAAGAGGAAGAAAGAAGGAAGTTAAAGAAAGAAATAAAGAGGGGGGAAAAAAAGAAAAATATGTTGGGGGTGGGTAGGAAAAGGAAAGAAAACCAATTCCCACCTCTCTCTTCTCTGCCTATCCCCTGGTTTTATCTCCTAACACTTCATCTATTCAATTTAATTCACTAACCATAATTTTTTCATCTCTTCCTTTCAGTTCTTTGATCTCTGGGTTAACAACTCAGTGACTCTCTCTGAACAGCAGGCTGATTTAAACTCATCAATCACTATGTTAAGCCAAAATATTGCTACAACTTGCCCTGGCCAGTTTGCTCAGCGGTTAGAGCATCGGCCCACAGACCAAAGAGTCCCGGGTTTGGTACCCACTAAGGACACATACCTTGTTTGCAGTTTGTCCCCGGCCCTGGTTGGGGTCATGTGGGTGGCAGCCACTCGATGTGTCTCTCATGTTGATTTTTTTTTTCTCTCTCTCTCTGAAGATACATGCAAAAATGTCCTCGGGTGAGGATAAAAAAAAAAAGACATATATTGCTTCAACTTAATAGAGATTCTTAGAAACTTTCAGTATTAAAATAAGAAATGACTCAGAAAAGTAATGGCATAATTATACCACATTTCTTTGGCACCTCTCCAAAGGAGAAACGAGGAAGCTAAAACTTACTCAATAATATTTATCTGAAATGAGGATTTTATGATAAATTAATTTTTAATGGACCTTGGGTGTACAGATTTGGATTAATCATCACTTTAGTTGATAATACATACACTGTCATCTCTGATCCACGCATGCATATATTTATATATTTATAATATAATGAAGACCCATAAACTCACCACCCAAAAATCAAGAACTAGTAGTACATTAACAACTTAAAATATAACTGTGTTCCCCTTCCCTATCCCATTCCCTTGCTCCTCCAACCCCAAGATAATCATTATCCTGAATTCTGTGTTTATTATTCCCTTGTTTTCGTAAAATATACAACATTTTACTATCTTAACCATTTTTAATTGATTGATTTGAGAGAGAGAGGAGGGGGGGGGAGGGAGGAAGAGAGAAAGAGAGGAAAGACATCAATTTGTTTTCATTGGTTGATTCTTGTATGTGACCTGACCTGGGATCAAACCCGAAACCTTGGCAAATGGGAACGATGCTCTAACCAACTAAGCTACCCTGCCAGGCCTATCTTAACCATTTTTAAGTGCACAGTTCAGTGGCATTAAGTACATTCACACTGTTGTGCAACCATTACTTCCTTGCTTTTTAAAAAGTTTTATTTTACATACACATACCTAAACAAAAGAGTTAGCTTTGCTGAGCTTTATCAAAGGATTATCGTTCTGTATTTAATCTCGGCATTATTTTACTTGACATTATTTTAGAAAAATCCATCTACATTTTCCACAAACAAGTCTTGCTTGCCTTTGGATACTTTTATTCCTAAGTATTTTATG